TCATCTAGCACTTCTCAACTACGCATGAACTTGGGATTTCAACTTTGAAGAATCCATACACAAACACGATATATGTAATAGTTCTGAATTTTGCTAACTTTGACTTTTGTATCAAAATGTTCTTACTTCAACTTATTTTCCAATAACTCTCTATTTTCTTTTCATCTATTTGTTTCCTGAATTCCTCACTCTCTTCCACTTGTAAACCTTGGATTTTTGAATATTCCTGCTCTAAGATTCGATTCTCAAGTCTTTTTCTTTCAAAATATGTTCAAAATGAATTCCATTATCTGCAAGTTTTTCGTCTCTTCTTGGTTCTAAATTGGAATAAGGTTCTTTTCTATACTCGCTCAGTTTATAAATTGTGGGTTCGGCTCTTTCTCTCAATACGATCCTATTCTTTAACATCAAATCTTTTATTCTGAAGTGTACCTGATAAAAATACGTTGAGAAATATTCTATATCCTACCAAGAAATTTGAATACCCCGCAAATTGTGGCCTGAACCTATATTCCATGCCGGCCGCATCATATTATTCTGTTTACATTTTTGTAGAATTACGTTATCCCATGGAAATTTGAATAGAGTGAATTGATTTCCCGTGCTCTTACAGTTGGAAACTGCACAAACTTGTATCTTTCTCCTAATTCTCTCAATTTGTCAAACCTTTGATATTTATGTCATGTACGTCCGTGTACTGTCAGTTCCCGCTTTTTCCATCAATTTATTTGTGGTTATGTCTGATTGTCAGTGCTTGTCAGTGTCCGTACTCTAATATACAAAAAACGTCACAACAGCAGTGTCAAGTACATTTAGGAACTCTAGTGTTTATCATCTTTCATAACTATATACAGGACTAATTAGATGAAAGTGATATCGAGGGAACTGTAAAGTGTCAAGGAAATGAGATTATTGTACATCTCTATTTGACATAGCCATCACAAAAAGATAACCGTATACACGTGTTCCGGGCTTCTGTTTATTGACTCCGTTTACTTGTTGTTTCGTGAAATTATTGGCAAAAAACGAAAATAAAAAGTCAACTTCAACGCCCTGTATCTTTTTCCACAGCAATATTCTATACATGCATATTTTTTAGTCCTATCGATATATTACGGATCAAACAATCCGCCCTTAGTCTATGTCCCAATAGTTATGACTCACCCTGTATATTTTTATCTATACATTTCTATGATATTACAATTTTCTTTACCTACGGCCACTATAGAAAGTAGGCAATAGCACACTAGATATAGCCTCAGTAAGTAGCTCTTTACGCACAGTAAGCAAATCGCACAGTTTTCGTTTATTCCGCCAGTATAGGAATGTCATGATCGCGTAATCGCCGTCAACAGCGGATGACATATCTGTCAAGAATTATATAAAGCAATTACGCACTCATGGAATTACGCAACTTTTCCATTCGTGCGTATAATGCTTCTTATAACACACATTAGGTAATATACTAATGTAATTTAATAAATGAGCAAGATTGGAAACACTTCTTCTTAGTTAATACATTTGTGACAATCGTGGATTATCTCTTGATGATGGTATTGGTAGTTGGAAACTCAAGTATTCGATCTTCAACCTCTCATAGTTTATTCAAGAATGTCCTGTTCTACATCTCATGAAATCAATCAATTCATGTTTATTTTGATTCACCATAAATGTCCCCCCCTCTAGCTCACTTATTTTTGAACCGATTTAAAAATTTGGAAAATAATCAAAAATGATTGTTCACATTTTTTTTTCCTGTTGCATCAGAAAATACAAGGTCCTCGGAACAAACGATCTACAGAGTACTACTTGATTTTTTCAAATGGAACACCCTGTATTTCATTGTATTTTTAGATTCTTCCTGAGGAGCTGATTTCATCAATACATCATACTTGTGGTATAGCGGGAATGATTACAGAGATATAGGGTGTTCAAAATCGAGATTTTTCAACTTCAATTTTTTTGTGTCGAAAACTATTCATTATTGGTCAAAAGGGCTTCTATGTCCCCATCTCAACTTTTGATTTACTATCTACTGACATTTAATTGGAACATTTACAGGGTGGTTCAAGATTCAGAATTCTGATCACCCTGTATCTGTTCCAATCATTGAATGTCAGTAAATCTACAGTTAAGATACGGACATGAGAGCCGTTCTGACCGATAATGAATAGTTTCGTCACCAAAAAATCCCAAAGTTGAAAACTCTCGATTTTGAACACCCTATATATCTGTAATCATTACTAGACCCCAAGTGTGATCCATTGATCAAATCAGCTCTTCGGGGAGAATCTAAAGATACAATGAAAAATAGGGTGTCCCATTTAAAAAAATCGAATAGTACCCTGTAGATCGTTTGTTCCGAGCACCCTGTATTCTCTGATGTAGCGGGAAAAAACTTTGTCGAAAATCATTCAAGATGAATTTTGAAATCGGTTGAAAAAATAACTGAGCTAGAGGGGGGGGGGGCATTTATGGTGAATCACCCTGTACCTAACCATAAAACAACAGCATGTAATGCTTAGTCAACAATATTCTGTTTGACGTAAGACCTACATAATTATTCTATACATATTAGTTCTTAAATAATAACAATACCTATAAAACTACATCACACATTGCTAAGATAACAATATTGTTATGATTATAACATACAGTGTGTTGAAATTTGGTCCACCCCATCCCTGGACTTTCGTATTCCTAGGGCGATTTTAAATATTTTTTTCCTCATAATATACTACTCAAAATTATCTACTTTGTGGAGCAAAAACATTAAAAAACACGATTTCTTGGCATACTATGATCACAAAAAATTCAGCGAAATTAAAGAAAACGGATTAGGCATTTTTTTACAAAAATTTTGATAATGGCAACTGATTGGTACTAATACTCCTATATCAACGTTACAATTTTTGGATTATTGCATTTTTCAAGTTACCGTGTATAATAATTCTTGGAAGAATTTTAATGATACCAGGCATGATGGTAGTCAGGATTAGATCATCTGTGTTCAGAGTGCGATAAATAACGAATAAAATCACTACAAATTTAAATTTCCGATCAAGAAATGAAAAGAAGAAGAAAGAACTAAATTATACCAATAAAAAAAAATAAAAAACTAAAACAGCCACCATTCCTAACAAGTTCAGATTTTTGTTTTTTTGATCAAATCTCCTCCATTATCTGTACACTTTTCATATTTCTCTCGCATGTTATTTTCAACTCTCCTCAATTCTTTTGGTGGTATTTCTCTGCAAACTGTTATTATTCTTTGTCGCAACTCTCTATTTCTTGGCATGAATTTCCCACTCTGTAGCCAGATTCAATAATCCTGACTACCATCATGTGGTATTATTCAAATTCTAGAAAGAATTATTATTCACAGTTGAAAAATGCAATTCTTCAAAAATTCTAACGTTGATAAAAAACACCCCTTATGAGATATTGGTTTGAAAATTGATATGGGGAGTATTTGTGGATAGTCCGAATCGATTGCCATTATTGAAATTTTCGAAAAAACTGCCGAATCCGTTTTCTTAAATTTTTCTTGGGTTTTTGTGATCGCAGTAGGCTAAGAAATTGTGTTTGATAATTTTTTTTTGCTCGACAAAGAAAAAAATTCTGAGTAGTATATTATTGAGGAGAAGAAATTCTTAAATCGTCCTGGTAATGCGAAAGTACAGAGGTGGAGTGCAGCAAATTGTGACACACTATATAACAAACAATATTGCTTTGTCATTCTGTATTCCGTTTGGACAGTAACTGCAAGATTGATTTTAACTTGAAGTGATAGCAATATTCTTGAAAAATGGAGAATTTTTGTGGTTTGACTTACAAGACTTAGACAAGACAACAACAGCGACATCAATATACAAAGTCATATGTCGTCCACTAATTGAATACAGCTTCATCTTGTTCAGCACATGCAGAAAAACTACCCTGAAGCACATTGAGGTTGCAGAAAGAAGTTGTTTAAGAGCCATTACTAAAATCCGACATCATAATAATTCCTTGCATAACCCTTCCAATACCCTACTATACAATTTAACTAAAGTAGAACCCATCCTCCAACGACTCCACAGACTCAGCACAAAATTTGCGAAGTCCGTCCACAATATCCCAGTGATCAGTCCACAAGTTATTGGACTGCCGGAAAACTTCATAAGAAACTTCATAAGAAAAAGAAAATTTTCCAGAAATAACTATTTTTCAAGGACTGATCCAACTGCAGCAAACAGGATAGCAAGCAATACACTTTTTTTCCTTTTTTTATTATCATTAATGAACTATTATTATCATTATTATTATTATTCCTACTTTGTATATTATATTTTGTAAACTGGGCTGAAAGACTTCGGTCAATGGCCTTTTGGGGTATATCCCTAATAAAGATTTTCTCTCTCTCCCTCTCTTTGATCTGGAATTGCAGTCTCAAAATTCCTCTACAATTTTGAACCTCTACGCATCGGGAGACAACACAACCTCAAGCTAAAATCTACTACGTTTTCCCTTGTATGATAAATAACTATTTCCGTCGACCTCGTATTAACGATTGTTTTATAGGCAACCAAACATACACCGCGTGCATTCATTGTTCATGCTATAACTTACGGAATCTGCATTTGAATCGAAAATATGTATTTCATCGAAGATTTTCCGTTAATGGGTTCGCCTTTCCAAGTTTCTGAAACGATTTTAATCCCTGTTTTCTAACACAAGGAATTTATTTTCTATGTTGATCATTTCGACAAATGTCAAATGTCACTAATGTCAGTAACAAGGCTACTAGGTGATTCTTAGTAGTTTCCGGATGAATGATGAATTCGCGAACCAAGTTTTCTTCATTGCAGGAGAAATGAGAAATATCTCGAACATTAACGCACGCTTCGCTCGCACGTTGTAATATCTCGATCATTAATCGCCCTCATTAATACACTAGTTGGTTAAATACCTATTAAATATTTCAACCTAACACTAAAATGTTCTTTTTCCATTTTCAGTGGACCACAGATCAGGATATGGCGAACGCGGTCCGAGACATCGGAGTCAACGACTTCCACGAGGTCAAGTTCTTCGAACATCGAGCTAACGGCCAATCGAAAGGCTTCTGCGTCATATCCCTGGGCTCCGAGGCGAGCATGCGCCTCTGCCTCGAATTGCTCGGGAAGAAGGAGATCCACGGACAAAATCCCCTCGTCACCCCTCCCACCAAACAGGCGCTCAGCAACTTCGAAAGTCAGTCTAAAACGCGCCCCAATCCCACCAACAATCCCAATTCTCGCCCTCCCCACCCCAGCCATCCCAACCATCCTAACAACAACGTTCACTCAGGTTAGTGAAGCGTATCATTGCTGAAAGTATCGATACATGATCAGAAACTATATCTGAAATTGGATCAATAAATAAAATGGTTTGTTCCATTACATACGAAGACTATACGGCAAAAACCGAGAACACTGAAAGTCACTTTTTACATTATAATAGGTTCATTCGGGTTGCGGTTTCAGAACTGAAACTGAATCGTTCTCAAACTGCGTAGAACTAGTGCGCAGTTGTTTCGAATCTAGGACTGTTTCAGAACGGTTCACAAATTATGAAAACTCGCGCGGCAGAAGAGAACCTTTGAGAACATAACCTCTATTCCGAATTTGCGAAAAAAATAATAGTTTGGAACCTGTATCTTTACTGGAATAATATTCTGAAGCTTCAAACTCTTCTTTGAGTCTTCACAATATCCCTCAAAGCCTCTGTGGAGGAATGGTGAATATATTTCATCATAGCATTTGTAGCTAGATTTTCAATGTTTTGTCACTTGTACCTACGTGAATTTCGACACCCCCCTGAAATGTCCAATGAATTGTACATCTGAATATAATGGCAGAGTATCCCCAACATAACCCTCCATTTTTCGGATGATCTAACAAAAGTTTGAGAATTACCAGATTAGGCACAATATTTTCAGCAACTTCAGCAAGGAACTCCTTCACTACTGCTTCCAGAAGATGAAGAACTACTACTATGAAATGAATGTACTAACTCCATAATATTGAGAAAATAGTGAAAAGAGCAATGAACAGTTGAATAAACTAGATGAAATGAGCATGCGCCAAAAATAATCCCAGATTCCCAGGTAGTTCTTGGACCGTCCCAGAACGATTCTGGAAAAACCCGAACGCATAAAGACTCAGTCCTAGAACAGTTCCACAAAACCAGAATTTGCGCAAACTCCTGACTGTTCTAGAACCGTAATAGGTCGAACCGGAATGAACCTATTAATACAAAAAAATGCTAGTAAAAATTGAAATTGAATGTCCTGAGCCGCTTGGCAATATTGATGTCATTTTAAAAGTTATTGGCAAAACAAATTATCTCGCCCACCACAAAAACGATTAAAGTCAAAACGTAAGTAATGCTGCGCGGTCGCCGTATGATCGAAAAAAACTGTAGCAGTATATGCAACGAATGCCCGTTAATCTCATGTGATTTTGACTTTTATGATGGAGAAAACAAAAACAAAAGACGACTAAATTGTTGAAGCAGTGATGATGATCCGGTGCAGAAATTAACGCAATTAAATGGAACTGCTCCAGTTACATACAAATCATTTCAAAATATTGGACTTCATGAAAGAAATATCATTATTAGAGAATTTAATAGTTGGTCGAGCAGAACGGTTACTTAAGTGGTCTTGTATCCAGGACTTCAGATACTGCAGGCCAAGAAATATAAAAATGAATAGTTATTCCTACCATCTATTCATTAACATATATCATGACTTAGTGGTAGTTATACATCTCTATTTTGGACTTCCATCATTTTTCATGTTTGTTCAACTATACTTTTATCATTTTCACCTATAAATAATTACCCGTTGTCAAACATGTTGATTCAAATTTTGCTGTGTGGTTTTGCAAGAAAAAACATTTTTAGAGCTATTGAAAATTTTCAAAAAATTGATGGTTCAACGCACCATAGTTTGGGAAGCACTGGTTTGATTTCGCGCTATCATTAGTAGTACTTCCGCATTGTTGGCAGAAAGAAAACATCCAATATACACACAATGCACATAAAGTCTTTGGATTTACAACAAAAAGCACTTGGGAATGGAACCGGAACAAAAACTGTATATTCTGGGACAAATTTTTCTGCGTTGAATCTTTTACAAATTGCGGTAACTTGTTTCCTGGAGTAATATTGTGTATCTCATGCAAAAAATGCAAAAAAATGAATAATAGAAATTCATTACATCTGTCTTGACAGAGCATCAAGATCGAACTGCTTGGTATTTTGGGTGAAATACCCGAAAAACTATCATCTAACATGAAAATGTCCTTGACCCCATTTGTGGTCGACCATTAACTTCTGATGGGGAGTCATTCTCAAAAGTTCAATATCTTCCAAAACAATTTTTTTTTAACGAAATGTATTCCTTGATTTAGTTTTGTTTCTCGTTTTCTATTGCCCAATTTCGGAAATACCCTAGATAACGATACTGAAAAATATCGTTCCTATAAATATTCACACATTGAGTATCAATACATACTTTATGGTTGAAGGATACACATTTCTCATAGACCCTCCTGTACATTATCAAGTACCTACTGTCTGTCTACGACTCTAGAAATCTATTTTGAATTGTGATCATTCAATAGGGATTCACAGATCACACAGACACCATGTTACCTGTTGCGTCACAAAGGCTATGTTCCGAATTCAACTGACAGTACTGAATCTGCTGATTTTTCATTCAAAAAAAAAAAAAAAAAATCAGATGTGATTGACAGATACTTGTGAGCATACATACTATTTATACCAAATATTTCTACCTGCTGAAACTGCTGACTATCAGAAAGTAGTGTAGCTTCAGTGAACTGTCATTATTTTAGGGGGGGGCATGGAATGTCACATTTATTTCAGTTGTTTTTTAAACATTAATTCTTGTCATCAATAATAAATTGATAACATCAAAAAAAGCCTGTTATTTAGATAATTGGACAGATAAACTAGAAACCACAGAAGTAACAACCTGACAACTGACAAATTTCACTAGCTGATCAACTGCTGCTGATTCCTGATTGAAACGTGTTCCGAATCACCGCACTCTGTTTTTGATTTTATATTTCAGAACACAGACTTTCAGCAGAATCATTAGATCTACTGACAGTACTGGCCAGTTGAATTAGGAATATTGCCAGAAACATTACTTTGTTCATATGTGTATGTGCCATAGACCTAAATTTATCATTATCTTAAAATTTGTATGTATTTTATCTGACAGAACAAGTTCTGTGGTGCATCCGTCGATGTATCTGCTGTATTCTGTTTTGACATGACAGATCACATTACTGGAAGTTGAGTGACAGTACTGACAGTTGACTGATTTTGTTGATGTTTGCGATATACAGTGTGTCCCAAATTCGATCCTCACCATTGGGATCTTGGTAACTATGAGAGATAGAGAGTTGATTAAATTACGAAGGTCAACAAATTCGTTCGTGATTCAGAATCCGTCAAGAAATCTGCTTTAAGCAAGAGAGAAAAAAAAAGGCGAATGAAAAAAGATCGTCTAGAGCATATTTATGTACTTATATGTACAGGGTCTCTATAAATGATCCTAGCATCGTAGTGACCATTGAAATATGTTATTCACCCTCATTCACATTTTTCTGCACCATTTGAAAAAATTAGTGATTTTACACTGTTAACTGATATGTTGTTACCTTTCAAAAGCAATTTCTTTAATTTTTCGTAGCATCATAATATATTTTAGAGATGTTCTCTGTAGCCCACTGCAAAGTGAGATTTAGACTTTCGGTTTTCATGGACATTTATAACGTCAATTATAATAAGTATTCAATTTTGATGACACTGATTTATGTGTTACCATTCATAGTCTGATTCAGTCATGAAATAATACGAATACAACTCTTGGTAAAAATTTTCCTGGAAATATCCTTATTTTGACATACTTCTGCTTTGATTTCAAAGTTTCAATAAACCATGTCATTAGCGAAATTATTAGGCAACAAGCTGTCGAAACAATCGCCAAATATTTCTGGCCTAGCAAAATATGGTATTACATATGAAATTATCGATATTTGGAAATATCTTCATATCTCTACCCATCTCTGACTCAGGTCCGATGCAGAACTTCGGGGGCAGGATGCCGATGAACGCGCAGATGCGGCCGATGCCGCCCGGCATGCAGGGCGGCCACCGTATGCAGGGCCCGCCCGGAGGGTTCAGCGGGCCGCCCACCATGAACCAGCAGCCGCCGCGCTTCCAGGGCAACCCGGGCTGGAACGGGCCGCGGCCGAACGGGCCCGGGCCCAACATGGGCATGCGGCCGATGGGGCCGCCGCCCGGGCCGCAGGGTCCGCCTAGACCGCCGATGGTGAGTCTGTTGTTTTCTTTATTCCATTAGATGATGGGAGAGATGAGAAAAAAAGGGTTTCCATTTGAAAAAAAATTACATTTTCCATTGACCTCGTATTAACGACTAAGTTTGATGTATATGAAATCGTTCATTAATGCCCCCTATTAATGAACGATTTGTCTATTAATGCTCTATAGTAGCATAGACAACCAAGCATACAAGTATAATATTATTGAGTAGGTAGTTGAAGAAAAATGGATATGGACGAAAATTTTACTTTGACATCCCCAGATGTAGCAGAAACTGCTAAAGTGGCTTCTTTGGATTTATTACCAGAAAAAAGCAGACACATTTATGAGAAAACTTATTGAGAATTTGTTTCCTGGTGTAATGAGAAGAAAATATCACGCTATTTGGAAACAGCGATATTGGCTTATTTCAGCACAATTGCAGAAAGAGGCCTCATAGCAAGTTTGTGGCCGAAATATTCGATACTCAAATCAACTCTAATGGTGAAAGAAAACATTGATATAAGTAAATACAATAAATTGATTATGTTCATTCAGCGACAAAGAGTGGGATATGTTCCCAAAAAGTTCAAAGTCCTGGAAAAAGACCACATACATGTATTTATCACTAGTGCCCCCAACAACATATTCCTAAGGACGAAGGTAAATATAAATGAAAATTTAATGAAACTACTTAATTTCATTAGCAATAGAAAATTCAGTATACTGTTCAATATTAAAAATACGTGTACATCATTTACGCGAGCGAGATGCTAAGGAAGTGCTAATGGTAGAGCATAGAGGTCGAGGGTTCAATTCCTCGCGGCAGCATACATTTTTTTTATATTCTTTGTCAACTTTAAATTTTTTTAAATTACGTTATGAAATATCACAAAATGAATTGTTGTTTACAAAAAATATCTATCATTATTTCATTTTGTAGGTGGCATTGATTTTCAGAGTGGCTGGCGCATTGAGGAAGGATGAACTGTTTAAATTACAAACGAATGACGAGCAAGATATGGGTTCAAAATTTTTTGTGACAATAAGGGCAACTAAAACGCATACAAACAGGATATTCACCGTGGTAGACAATGAACAACACACACTTCTAAATTTGATAAAACGCTATATTTCATTGAGACCAACTCATGCACCTCTCACACGTTTCTTCATCTTCTACAGAAACGATAAATGTTCAGTACAACCAGTTGGCATAAATACATTTGCCAAATTGCCGTCAGTCATGGCGAAATTTCTAAAATTAGAACAACCACAACTATACACTGGACATTGTTTTCGGCGTTCTTCCGCTTCGATTCTTTCTGGCAGTGGAGCAGACTATTCGACAATCAAACGACTTGGTGTTTGGAAATCCACTGCTGTTGCTGAGAGATATATTGAAAATTCAATTCGAAACAAAGTTAACGTAGCTGAAAAAATTCTTTGCGAAACTGCCATAAGTCTTCCTCATTACGCTACTGCTTCTACCAGCGCCGAAACACATAATAATGTTACAAATATTTACAGTAACGACATTAACCTAAATTATTTGAAATCAAGTTTAACTGTGCCCTCTATCAATTTTACCAATTGTACTATAACAAATCTCAATATAAATGCATCCAAATATGAATCAAATAATGATCATTGATGTTTAACATAATTTGTATACTGTTGTTATTGTTGAATAAATATGTTCTGATCAAGAATTCCTTCATTTCATCAGGAATTAGGTCGACGGAAAAATTTTGTAACCAACTCGTATATTAAAAGGCGATTAATGATCTGGAACATTAACGCGCTCGCTTCGCTCGCACGTTAAAATATCTCAATCATTAATCGCCCTCATTAATACACTAGTTGGTTAAATAACTATTCCAATGTTTCACATTCACTTTCAATTTATTAAAATATTTCAGGAACGGCTGAAGCTTTATCAAATTGTAAAACATAACATTGAAGAGGTTCAAATTACTCAACCTTTGTCTGATGTGATCAACTTTCTATCTCTTACAGTTTAGGAAATAGCTATACTGTCCCTATGAAATCGGCGGGACCCTGTATAATGTATGTGAATATTTAGTTCAGATTAAACTATCTTCCTCTTTTTGAACTTCCTGATGAATTATCTCCTTCGGCGACTTCTTTTCAAAGCAATTTATAATTTGATATAAATCACAATTTCAATTGAAAACAATCCGTTCATTTAAATCATGATTTGATTCAAATCGTCGCAAACCTGACAGATGTTCAAATAATAAAGTTCAAAGCATTGTATATAATAACTGATAGAAAAATATTCAAGTACGTTATTTCATTACTACTTTAATCAAATATGTATTTCGTTCTTTGTCAATGTTTCCTGCTTATTGAAGTTAATACTGCTGAATTTCGACTTTTCACCTTACACTTTGTTTGTGAAATACTCATCCTGCGAACCCCCGAGGTTTTCGCCATGCGATTCAGTTTCGTTAAGAAATGAATCGGTAGACTTATCACGATAATTCAAATACTTGTGCTATTCCTACTGATAATATCATTCGCCGTTCGTGAATGATACCGTGTATCGAACCGTGATGGTATTTTGCAGCAGTTCCAAGGACCGCCGCAAGGCCCACCCAGAGGCATGCAGCCTCAAGGCCCGCCTCCGATGCGACCCGACTGGAACAGGCCGCCGATGCAGCAAGGGTATCCGCAAGGGCCGCCGCACATGCAGGGCCCCAACATGGGGCCCAGAGGCCCGCCGCCGATGGGCCCACCGGGAGCACCGCCGCAGGTCAGTGACACGATTCAGTTGTGACGTATAAGTTGATATTCAAAATAAGTTCATGTAATCGGGGAGTGAACTGATGAACAATTATTGGTATTCAATGGGGAAGACCACCGAAGAGAAGAAATCCGTGCAAACCTCTTTCAATCGACGAATCATGATTAACGTTTGATGTACAATCAATATTATGAGTTAAAGTTGAAGGGAATCGAATCTATATCGTTTTGAAATCAGCATATTTCATTCGATATTTCAAACAGCCAAATATGATGGTGGAGTCGTGACGTATTAGTCCCGAACTGTAGCTATCTCTCTCTGATAACTCGTCATTCTGCAGTGTTACAGTGTGATTGGTCAGTTCAAGGACAATAGGCGTGTTGGGAATAAGAAGTCGCACCAGTCACACCAATGAATTGACAACATTTCAAATGGCGCAGGGATTGTGTGTTTTGAAATGGGCATATTCTAATTTATTTTTTCCATCGTCTTAGCATGAATGACAAAATTCAAAATTAATTCGCTGGTAGTTTTTCAGTATAGAGTTCACGATAATGTCATTTTAAAAAATCAGTGGTCTCTCCCATTATTCAACTTTGTCGTTAGGGGCCTAAATTAATCTTTGCCACACTTCTCCTGCTTTTTTATGTAAATAATGAATCTGCGTTATTTAAAATTGTTGAGTTTCATAGCTCATTTCAAACGTACAGGGTGATTCACCATAAATGTCCCTCCCTCTAGCTCACTTTGAACCGATTTAAAAATTTGAAAAATCCAAAACAAACGATCTACAGAGTATTACTTGATTTTTTTATATGGAACACCCTGTATTTCATTGTATTTTTAGATTTTCCCTGAAGAGCTGATTTCATCATTATATCACACTTGGGGTCTAGCGGGAATAATTATTACAAAGATATAGGGAGAATCTAAAAATACAAATTTAAAAAAATCAAATTGTACCCGTAGATCGTTTGTTCCGAGCACCTTGTATTTTCTGATGTAGCGTAGAAAACCTCTATCGAAAATTATTTTAGATGATATTTGAAATTTTGCAATCGGATCAAAAATAACTGAGCTAGAGGGGAGGGGCATTTATGGCGAATCACCCTGCACTGTCATGGCCGCCATTTGGCGATACTTCGAATAAATGATGATGTCTGTTTTTATGATGTTTTGTTATTGGTCAGATAATCTTCCATTGCATCTCATGAAGCAAGGTTGCCACCAATTATAATCAAGTTATCAAAAAATATTAGAGTCCTGTCGTTGAATAAAACATAATCCAGCATGTCTAGGTATTTCCTATAGTCCATAACAAAATATCATGTAAATGTTGGAGACTTAGCAAGAATGTGCTGAATGCTGAGATCTGACAAGCCAACGCCCACAATTCGTTTGCCGTGTTGTCACCTTTACGGGATCAAATGTCCTCTAGTGTGAATTAATATAATAATTATCATTTTCACAAATGTATATAAGCAATAAGCCACAACACATGAGGAAAAACTAATATTTCTGAAGTTCCCAATGGTATTTCAACATATGGCAACTGTGCAATGGTCTGTTCCTACTTATGAAATCGTGACGTCAGTTTTTACTCGCGGTAAATGTCTAGCCGTTTGAAAATTTCCATGGCATTATTAATGATTTTAGCACCTTAAAATCGACCGAAAATTTCAAAAAAATATGAAATTAAAAGGTATTTGGTGATGATTCTGTTTAAGAAATGAAAAAAATATATATACAGGGTGTAACTAAATAAGTGTAAAAAATTTGATTGGGTGATTCCTCATCGAAAAAAAGATCGGATCTTTCATATAAAGAAACTCCATTGGAGCATCCCGTATTGAGATACAGCCCCTTGAAGGGGGTACATAAAATTTGTTTAAAAATTTTTTTCACAAGCACTAAAAAAGTTACAGTATTGAAATCAATCTGACATTTTCTTCTACCAAAAAGACACTTAGCCAGTAATTTATTTGTACTTGAAGTAATACTAATTGTGTATTGTTGAATTGTTGTTCTGTTCTTAATTTGTGAAAAAAATTGTTGAACAAATTTTATGTACCCCGTGTACCCCTTTCAAGGAGCTGTATCTTAACATGAGGTGCTCCAATGAAATTTCTTTATATGAAAGATCCTCGATGAGGAATCACCCCCTCAAATGTTTTACACTTATTTAGTTACACCCTGTATAGTCCACTCCCGATCCGACAGCGGTCCGGACTCCTAGAGCGCAAAGGCATTTTACTCGCCATGTATAAATAGATAGACAAGAGATAAACTTCTTTTTGACAATTACATTTCACAATATGGTATAGGCAATCTTTATTAACTGAAATATTGTAGTAACATAACAAAAGATTGATAGATTGTCTTTATTACCCCAAGAAACATATCAGTTTATAATAGGGATACATGAATACATAATGAAAAAGTTACAATAAAATGTTAACATGAATTTCATCAGATGGAAACAAATCCATATTTTACTTGAGATTCTGAGTAATCAAATCATGCCACATATTTTTCAATCAAAATATCCTGAGCAGGTGATTTTCAAGGTTGATCTCAAACCTTCTTGCAGCATGTATATTTTTCAACTCATTCAATAAAATTTGCTGTAATAATTCGAAAAAAAAAAATTTTGAATACTCTACAATTTCATGGAATGTTTGAACATAGCGTTCGGCGGAAACTGGTCTATCCAGTACTGACCGCACAATGCTTTTCCTGTGTTGCCAGCTAGCTGTCTTATTTTAAGGAAATCCAACTAAGAATTATCGAGATGATTGATTTTAACTGTCTAGTCAATCGTGGAGCTTGTATATTCATTTCTCCGTTTTTTTGTGATTTTCTTCTTGTTTGTACTAATAAAATTATCAGTATTATTTCAATATGTGTCTATCTAGCCTAAAATAAAAAAAATCATTTGATTGTCAGTGACACCTCGTTTTTAAAAATGTTTGAAAAGAAAAACATAGATACTTAACATTTTTTGTGTTGTAAACGGGAGCAGATTCGTTCCCGAAACGCTCTGAGGAGAAAACGGTTTCCGATAGTGAAGTAGTTTGGGTTAATACTTAGGGAAAAAATATCAAAATCATTATAGAATTCTAGTGAATTGTTGTTTTCTTTTTCAGGGACCACCTCAAGGACCAGCTCCACATGTCAACCCGGCATTCTTCCAGCAAGGCGGAGGTCCTCCTCCGCCGATACAACACATGCCTGGACCGGGGCCTGGTATTGTACTCTTTTCTTTTTTTGTTAGACATGTAGGACAGACATTGAGAAAGGGTATGCGGACGATGTTGTATGTCACCAGCAATAATTTTTTTCTGTGATGACGCGCAACGACTATTGCAAAATGATTTTTTCATATGAAATTGATAGTTTTTTGCATTTGAGAAATCAATTTCTGTTCGATTTCTGGAGCGTACAAAGAAGTTCCTTCTATGTGAGGATGATGAAATGAGGATTTTCTGGATTTTGAAAATACACTGCTGAAAATCAATGGAAAAACTTATTTTTCTGGTTTCAACAATAATTAATGGTCAGTTCCTTCTGACGTATTTTAACAAATTTATACAGGTGTTATGAGGAACTGTACATCATAGTCCTACCACATATATACAGGGTGATTCACCATAAATGTCCCCCCCTGTAGCTCACTTATTTTTGAACCGATTTGAAAATTTGAAAAATCATCTAAAATGATTTTTCAGAAATTTTTTTCCCGTTGCATCAGAAAATACAGGGTGCTCGGACCAAACGATCTACAGAGTACTACTTGATTTTTTCAAATGGAACACCCTATATTTCATTGTATTTTTATATTCTCCCTGAAGAGCTGATTTTATCAATGCATCACACTTAGGGTCTAGCGGGAATGATTACAGAGATATAGGGTGTTCAAAATCGAGATTTTTCAACTTTAGGAATTTTTTGTGTTGAAACTATTCATTTTTGGTCAAAACGGCTTCAATGTCCCTATCTGAACTTTTGATTTACTATCTACTGACATTCACATACAGTGTGATTCAAGATTCAGAATTCTGATCACCCTGTATCTGTCCCAATTATTAAATGTCAGTAGATAGTGAATCAAAAGTTGAGATACGGACATGAAAGCCGTTTTGACCGATAATGAATAGTTTCGTAACAGAAAAATCCTAAAGTTGAAAAATCTCGATTTTGAACACCCTATATCTCTGTAATCATTTTTGCTAGAGAATCTAAAAATACAATGAAAAATAGGGTGTTCCATTAAAAAAAATCAAATTGTACCCTGTAGATCGTTTGTTCCGAGCATCTTGTATTTTCAGATGAAGTGGAAAAAAACTTTCTCGAAAATCATTTTAGATGATATTTAAAATTTTGCAATCGGTTCAAAAATAACTGAGCTAGAGGGGGGGACATTTATGGCGAATCACCCTGTACATAGTGATCAAGTCCTAATGACTAATACTGCAGGAGTCGATAGAACTAGATGAAATACTATTATCCCTTCCTTTTGAGAATACAGTATGGTGGAAATGTATGGAATAAATTCATTATCTCTAACGCATATGAATTTGAAGGAAAATTCTGAGACAGGTCGATTTTTATTTTCAAATTGACACCTCTTGATATACATGCGGAGTTTGTAACGACATCCGCGTAGTTGTGGTGACGTCATCGATTATTTTTTTAACGGAAGCATCCTCTTTTTTATTTTTTTCGGAAGGTATATTCATTGTCTATCCAACCATATACTGATATTAGCAGAATAAAGTAATACAGGGTGAGAAAAAATTATTAATTATTTTATATTTACAAGGGAAACCATTACAATGAATATTCGAATTGGTGACCTTCTGCAATGATACAATGTGATTGACGATATACATTGTTTCTGATTTATACAGGTCAAATTTTTCATTTATTGTAATTGTTTCCATTGTAAATATAAAATGAATAATACTTTTTTATTATATGGTTGGATAGACAATGAATATACCTTCCGAAAAAAAAAATTAAAAGGGGATGTTTCCATTTAAAAAAATAATCGATGACGTCTCCACAACTACGAGGATGTCGTTACAAACTCCGTATGTATATCAAGAGGTGTCAATTTGAAAATAAAAATCGACCTGTCTCAGGATTTTTCTTCAAATTTCTATGCGTTAGAGATAATGAATTTATTCCTTACATTTCCACCATACTATATTATGTTCTAAAACGGTTTTTATAGAGATATCGAATATATATATTTATAATGAAATTCTCAAGTATTATTATATTATTGAATGATAATACTATGAAATTTCTTAGGTCAACTCAGGTGATCATTATTCATGAAAGCATGTCTTGACCCATCTGATTACTGTTCATATACCTTCGATTTGCAAGATATTTGGTAAGATTCAATTTGATGCTAACTGAAATGTTCGTTTTTTTATCTCTTGGAGTGCACGAAAGGAAATTCCTATGATGTGGAACATCGTGCATACCTAGGGAGAATAGGAAAAGGAGGAGGTAGGTGTCGGGTTTTTTGAACTTTTGAATGTTATAAGTTCTTGGGAATACTTCATTGGCAAAAATTTCCAAAGCTTTGGAATTATTTGAAGATCATTCCTATCAATAATGGATTTATTCATACATTTTGTGATTCAGGGTGCTGATCTATGTATTGAATATTAATTCAAAAAATATTCCCATGCTTATAAACACTCTTCACCTATTTCAAAATCCATACTCAAGCCAAATACTCAACATTATTGATATGATTAATTTACCAAGGAAAAATTATAAAAACCTGAGATATTTCAACATTTCCAAACGGCATCAGATGAGCATTTTAATTCACATGAAATGGAATTACTTTATCTTGAAAGCCAAAAGAAATATCGAAAGTATTCAGGAGGACCAAAATTTAGCATTGAGAATTGTATTGAAATCTGGTGCAAAGAAATAAAAGTAAAAAGTGCACCATGCTGTATGTCAATCAAAATGTAAGGACATGTTATTAATGCATGCTTACATAAACATGAAGCTGAATCTATCAGTAGTATTGAAATGATTGTGAGATTCTCATTAAAAATGAACCGTTTTAGAGCACAATATACTCATGTTGTTTATAGTAAGAGATACTAGTATTTCATCTATGTCTATCTATTCCTAGAGTATCAGTCATCAAAACTCGATTATCCTGTTAATTGACAATTATTAAATGTCTTCTGCTCTGGGCCAATAGGACGCTTTATGGATTTTCGCAAAAGAATCTTTTGACCATAACTTTGGTTCTGACTCATTTTCCCATGAAACATTGTGCTACTTTTCAACACGTTTTTATTAGGTCATTCTGTTTGTCTGTGTGTGAACTACAAACTTTGTTATCGAATTTTCACTCAGTATTGTTGACCAATTGAGATGAAATTTTGTAGATATTCAAAATGGCGCCACCAAGATGGCGGATGAGATAGTCATTTTTTGTTCAATTCCACTGAAATTTTATTATCAAACAACTGACTTACTCAGAACTCGAAAAACTAAGACCAGTCTCGGAAAAATTATACTTGTTCAGTTCACCCTGTGTGAATACTTACATGATCACACAGGCAAAAATAGCGTATTTGGAATTTTCTTGTCCAGACATAACAAGTTAATGGTTAAATAAGTATTTTGAAATGAGGAATTAAGACATTCCTCATGATCCAGTTCATGGATAACTATATCTCTTTCATCTCCAGGGCTTTTTTTCATTTTGTTTTTCATTGCAATTTATTTATGGAGATTGAAAATCACCCTGTAGATCCTCTTCAAATTACTGGGGTAACACAGGCAGTCCAGAAACTTAGACAAAAATTGGTAAATTGACCTAAATGTCTTGAAAATCCTATAAATAATAAAATAATAATAATATGTACTTCATTGATCATGATACATACAATATACATTATGATCAAATAATAATAATCATAGTATCAGAGACTGGAGCCTCAATTCTGAAGATGCTGACATAGTTAGTAAAACACATGTCAAAGCATTGATACATTGGTTTGGTCAATTGTAAAACATTGTAGTATTTAATAATAAAATATATTGATTATTGGACACCTACAGTCAGGGTTACCACCAATTGCCAGGGATTTGAATTTTGTCAAGAAAAGTTTCATCAATTTATTTCGTCAGAGAAAACCTGAAAAAAGCAGGAAATTTTGATGAACAGGGTGTGGCAACTCTTGTAGTTGAAAAAATGTTTCCCTTGTTCTCTTCGATTTATGTATATGCAAACTTGTTGTGATTTATGGGATATCTACACAGTAATTTTTTCCCTTCCACAAAAATAATAATGACTAAAACTAGCCCTGGAAATTGGAAAAGTTGAGTTGAAAATTGTGCTGAAGCATGGTCTGTCATAGTATGCAATTTTTCTAATATCCATATTGATAGATGGAATTGGAACAATACGGAATTCTTCAATGATACTCGAAATTTACAGCAGTGTATATCAGAAAACATTATCACCTCATATATTTGAAGTGAGTAAAAAAAATACAAAGCAATTTGGAAATATTTTATAACCTGGAATCTATACTTGAGAAAAATCTCAAGGATAATAAAGCGCAAACTATAAAATCGAAAGCAAGCAGAACTAATCAACAAATTTCATGTTTTAGGTGGCTCATGAAATAACTGTTTTGAAAGAAATATGCTCTCCCCCACATCGAAATTTCAGCAGCCATGACTGTGAAATTTCCTACTCACTAGATAGAAACCTACTTAGAATATATCAGCCAAAATATGAATATCAAAACAACTGATTAATATGTATTTAATCGATATGTAGGTTACAACTACTCCAGGAACAATTCAGTCACTAACAATTTGTGGACAATTCGTGAAAAAATATTACAAAACTTAACTTTGTTAATTTATATCGAATTCTCAGATGTCATTTTTCTATTTTGAAATCGTTTACTTGAATTGGTCATAAAAACAACGCATTTTCATCTACATTGAGAATAATTGGTCTCTAAAACATTACAAAATTGACTTGAATAAAAAGTTCTATTACATACTTCAGGCTTGTACTTACAGACCCGGTGACATGTTATAAAGTACCACCAGTAGAAAATACAGCCTTACAGATTATTTTCCCTTCATTTTCGAATTAACAAAAACATTTCAACTATCTGATAAAATGTACAGGGAGCAGCAAAAAGTGTATGCATTTCAAATAGAACACCTCATTATTAGGA